ACTGAAGGCTGCGGGTGTCGACCTCAGGACGAGCTGCTTTTCACACGGACAACTGTACGTGGCTTGCTTCCGCGTCACCAGTCCTGACTCGCTGTACATATTGAATGAGACCGAGGGAAAAACAACGAACGTTGTTTACACAGAAGTGTTACAGTAAATTACAACACTTCTGTTATTCGACGTCACCAAAATTTCCTTATTAACCTGACGTCTTTGACCAGTAAATTAACTACATAACTTTCAAATTTGAATTTACTAAGCTAAATAGTTTTTGAGGTAGGTATCTAAGCTTTAGTATAAGTATGGGATGCGTCTTTTGAGTGTTTCTGTAAATCTACAAACTATCACTGACTATTATTAAAATAAAAATAGAATAAAAAATAGTTATGCGATACGTGGGCAAAGCCACGTGTACAGCTATAGTTTATAAAGTATTTTTTGTAGTGCGTTCCACACCGGATAGGTGAAATATACGGGATGAAAAGTTTTTTGTTGTATAGGTGTTAAGTCTAGGCAACATATAGGCTATAATTTATTTTGGAAAATGGAACACCTGATGCAGAACCGCAACAGACCAGCTAAAGTATAAGAGATATAAAAATGGTGCCATAGCAAAAAATATTCCACGTGAAGAGTATTTTCTGCTGTGAGAATAAATTTGAAGATCTGGAACACCTGTTGTGGAACTCCAAAGCCCAGCGACATTATAACATATATAGGAATGACGTCTTAGCAAAAGTTGTTTAGTCTGATGGGCATTTCCTGTTGACTTACAAAAATGAAAGATCTGGAACGTCTCGAATTGTTTGGCGCATCACGTTGTTTTCCCGTCCCCGGGCTCTTTGAATTTGATTTTGACGACCCCGTTGTCGCTGGCATAAGCAACAGGATCCGCGTACGAAGTCGCGGGCAGAAGCTAGTCTAGTAATAAAAAATAGTCTTCGCTCGGTCTGTCAATACAGCGAATCGAGTTTGTAGTCGTGATAATAAGACGTAATTACATGTGTGTGCTCCGGGCGATACCGATCCTCATACAAAATAAAGTTGACAGCCATTCTATTGTATTTTATAGTGTTCTATGGGTTTAATACTAAGAGTTTAACAAATAGAGATTCTGCCAGTATCGAATATCCGCAGAGGCTTTTGATCGGAGCACTGCCTAATTTGTCTTTGGATAACTAGCACTATATAGTTCTGGACATAATGCCTTAAATTAAGAACCTGTGACTCATTAGTATATACACAGTAAACTATGCTGTGACTTATAAGAACACCTCAATCAATGACTAAAAAGCTGGGACAAAAACCGGGTTTTGAGAAGCTAGTGTATTAAACTTCTTTCACATCTTAGTAAAATATTACAAAATTAACCCAGTACCACCTCAATAATGTGAATATGATGAGATAATATACAGCACGGTTGTAAGTTCTTTTAGAAATTTTGTTATACTTGTGGCGGCGCTTTCGTCGCGCCACAAGCGAAATACACCGAAGCCTAAATCACGCTATCAACATTCCGAATCAGTATATATAGAACATCTCCGAACTATCACCAGGAGTGTGAGCCGCTCCCCGGGCAGAACACCTTGCCCGGCGGGAGATCTCCCCTTTTCCTACCACGGCCACATACTCGACTTGCCCGACAGTTTGCACGACTACTACAACATTGACGGCAATGAATTTCTTTGTTTAGTATAATTGTCTATTGATCCGTAATGAACGATAATAATATTTTTAAGGAATATTCCTATGTAAAAGTAAACGCTTTTTTTATTTTATAGGCTTTAAAATTAAAAGAAAACATTCGTTTGTGATAAAAATATAATAATTTATTACAAAATTATTATTCCATTTTCATCTTCACACTCGCAGTAAATTTCCTGTTTGGTTTTTTGTGCTACTTAAAAACAAATACTGTACTATATTTTATTGACATTTATTTATAGCGTTATATTTTTGGCTGGAAGACAGCAAATGCGTGCGCAGTACGTGTGCGTGCAAGCAGTATGTTTTACCTTTTAAATTGTAACTGCGGGGTTGGTCAAGATGACATTACACAAACGTTAACGCTATAGAAAACTATCAAAATGAATGAATTCAATGCAGTCACGTGACTTAACGTTCAGATATCTCATTGCTATTCATTTTCTTGGTTTTCTATATCATTAACGATCGTAGAAAGTCGTCTTGGCTAAACCCCGCTGATTTGACGACGCTTACCATGCGCACACGATGTGCTCAGGCCATTATTGTTATGTACTCAACTAATCAAATTAGCTTGTCAGAGATTTTGGGTGTATTGTATAAGTATTAGCAGTATTTTAAATTTATAAGTTATACAGCACAATTTCAGTATCTAAATTACTACATATGTATACTACCTTATTCTACCTTACTACTACTACCTTAGATCATGTAGGCAACTTACTCTTTATACAAAATAGTAAACACTTCTAAACAACGCTAAAAATAAAAGCTTGGTATTGAGACAGTTTTGTTAAATCAGTAGCGCTGCCTAGTGCATATTTTAACATTACATAAGTCACTCTATTTAAAAAAAAAACATCACACCAATAAATAATAAAACTATAAATTACTTCGCAAACTTCCGCTAGCTAAATACAATTATGTGTCTTACCTGAATTGAAGAGCACCTCCCGCCCTCCCTCAATTGCATGCACTAACTCCGACACTACTAGTAATATATTTACACAATATAATTACAATTAGATAATACATTGTATTATTGCCGATGGTGTGTCTTACCTGGAATAGTGGTGTTGGAAGTAGTGGTGCCGGAAGTAGTGGTGCTGGGACTAGTGGTGACGGAGTTATTGCATGCAATTGAGGGAGGGCGGGAGGTGCTCTTCAATCCAGGTAAGACACATCATTGTATTTAGCTAGCGGAAGGTTGCGAAGTAATTTATAGTTTTATTATAATGGATTTCCGCAAAGTAACGCCTGATTCTATCAATCAACACCACACCAACCTAATTTAAACACCAACAAATATTAGTCATCTGGTTAAACATAACAATATTTAATGTAGTTTATCAAATATATTAATTAATAATTATTGACATTTAATTTCTTAGTGTAGTAAGATTACCTACATTTTAAAAATATGGGTCTATGGGCAGTTTTATCGCAAACTAACAAATATTGTTAACATACTTTAAGATATAGTGCGTATCATCGTACTCCCGTGTTAGAAATTGTAAATGTAAACATTTCCGTTTCTACAGAAACAGAAAGGTGAGCGTAAATTCCAATAACGAATTTACAACAATGTTACATGGAAAAATTAAGTATTGAAATAATTGAATATTATGGAGAAAAAGAAATAATTGAACACAGGTAATATTTGACGAATTATTAATAAATAATTTTGAGTTAAGCTGGGGTATGGGGATTACGAAATTAGAAATCACGAGTTCGAATCTGCCGTTCGAGTTCGACTACCGTAGTCAACCAAGCTTAGCACAAGCATTTTAAGAATAATTGGAAGAGAATAATTAGTATCTAATGTTTATAATAATACATAATTATATAAAAGTCACTATTATTTGGTAGCAATATATTACACAAAATGACGGATAGCCTTATTTTCGGTACACAGTTTTTTTTCTCGGAAAACTGAACGCGCCATTAAATCTGAACGCTTCACCACTTATGTAGTTGAAGCGACAGTAGCCTAGTGGCAGGGCGCGGTCCGCGAACTTAAAAGGTCGCGGGTTCGAATCCACCATTCGACTACTGTCTAGAACCACTCCTAACACAAGCATTTTTCAGCTTACCAGGAGTGGTTAAAGGGAATATTAGTAATGTTAATTAATATATATATATATATATATATATATATATATATATATATATATATATATATATATATATATATATATATATATATATATATATATATATAGGAAATGCCAGCAAGATCTCGTGACGGTATAATTATCAATTATATGTCATAGGTAAAATACCGAGATCGGCAAATGGGAGATCGATCGCCAATTAACTCATTAGGCATAAGATAATAATAATCTCTATCGTTATAGCCTATGAAAGTCCACTGCCGAAAATAGGCCTCCTTCATAGATTACTTGCCTAGTTTGGCAAGCGGGTTGGCAACCGAAGTTTTTTTAATTTTAGTCGCTATTAGGAAGACGCTGCTGTCCATCTCCTGCCTGTTTTCCTCTGTCGCCTCTTACGGCACCCACGGGATGATATGAGGTAGTGGATATTCTTACACCGCCACTACACGGGCAGTTAGGCATAACGACATAATACTCTATACATACTATCTAGACCTAGACTGAAGAAGAGCATCATGTGCAACTTTGGACTGATTACCATAAAGTTACATAAAACTTTTTATTTCTTGTAGGAAGAAGTTTACTTTAAGTAATATTAAGCTATTGCATAACTTCTATCGCGGGCCTTGAGCGCGGGGACCGAATCCAGAAATTCCGTAACGAAAAAAAACCTCACGCTCCCCACTCCGACGGGCATGGAGGTGTGGCGTTGAAAGCCGTGCATCGTCTAACGTCGTTTCAGTTCGGCAGACTTCGGCACTCGGCAGACTTCGGCACGGTGTTTGTGTGCGTGCGACTAGACGTATGCGTGTACACTAGCTGCTAACTCAATGATAAAAATTCCTGAATAACCTACATGTATTGTAAGATATTAAAAATATTTTAAACAATATTAACTTCTCATTTATTCAATAAGAGAAAAAAAATTGTTTTCTTATTGGTCACCACGCTCAAAAAGTGTAACTTGATTTAATATCAAAGACTTAACTGCATAAATAAAATAAATAAATAATTATAATTGCACAAGTTGATAAAAAATGCTATGCAATAGCTTTACCGCGGCAGTCACCGAGTGCCACACGTATTTTTATGATTTTATTTGGATAGAGTTAGATGTCAAGTGAAGAGAAAGGGGGTTCAAGGACTTCTAAATACGGTAGAGATGTCCTTGAAGACCTCGCGCTATGGCCGCTTAAAGTATTGCTCGTCGATGCGCTTGGCGAGCGCCACAAGTGTCTCGTGCCTCCGAACGATGTCGGCCAGTTTGCGGCAAGGGAGACGCGTTGTTATAATTGTGAACACGTGACCGAAGACGAGGGCATCCAGCTCAGTTGGCCTGTGGAGAAAATATAGAATTGTTTACTAGAAGGAACGAAAAGTAAGATTTCAGTTACAATTACAATAACACTTTCCATATTCATTTTCTTTTAGTGATAAATGAAAATGTTTGGTGAAATCAAAAGATTGCACATTATGGTTAGTGGAAAACTCACTCACGTAAGCAACTTTTGAGTTTCTATCGCGAAATTACATCTACACTATAACTAACACTATACTATCTTACAAAAGAAAGCATTTCGTATCTACAGTTTGAGTGACGCCTAAACCATGAATAACTTTTTGATAGGCACTCGCGCACAAATCTTTCTTCTTTCTATCGCAATAATTATTTAATTATTTATCATGCATCTAAAACCATTGTTTGTTGCAAATTATTTTAAATACATATGTGTCCGTGAGTGCGTATTTTACAATAAGTTGAGCATGGTATCTGTGTCTCTTAGAATGTAACGTAGTGTTCTATCTTTTTTCGTCTGAGGTAAGGAAAGGAATGCTACCGATGGGTTGTCAATTGCCAGCTCTGAGGAATATGTTAAAATGTATCACAGCCAATCATTTTGTATCATCATGTACCAATCGAAACTACCATAAAACAAGTGGCTACTAAAAATGAAAAATGACAAGAAAGGAAACTTACGTATATGTGTACCATTCTGCATAATACTAATTTAAACATCTAAGAGATATTTAAAAATCTGAGGGTTTACTATAATTTTTATTTTATTCTTGTTGTAAAATAATTCGAAACAATCAAAAGGCACTTAAATGTATTAATTGTACGAAACTTTCTGATGCTGTGAAGTTAATAAAATTTTGTTCTATAAAAATAAATATGTATAAAGTTAATAATGAAGCAATGTTAAAATTGAGACTGTAGGTAGTTAGTCAATGTCGGCAATCTCAACGCAATTGTTGAAATTGGCGTTCCTCTTTCGCAAATATTCCATCAAACTTTCAATGCTAATTTCTTCATCGCCTGGAGCATTTACTGTCGATTTAGAACCTGAAATTTAATATTGAATCTTTATATATGTACTAACTGTTACTCAAAGATTTGACTGTTCGAATTCATATCCTAATAATATGTTGGTTTTCTCGATGGTTCATAACGATTACGCATTGTAGTTAATTTATAAACAAATTATATATTTGTGGACTGACTCATATTCACAGTATAATACATAACATACATACATAAACACTCACGCCTGTCACCCAGAGGGGTAGGCAGAGATTACGGACTTCCATTTGGCACGATCCTGACATACCTCTTTCGCTTCCTTTACATCCATATATCTACGCATACATGCTCGTCGGTTAAGGGTACTTCTAACGTGGCCCATTTTCAAAATATCGCCAATTTGGTCGACAAACTTTTTTCTAGGGCGTCCCTTCCCGACTCGGTCGTTCACATCTGCCATATAAATTTGCTTTGTCACTCTTTCATCATTCATTCTTTCTACGTGACCAAACCACCGAAGCATTCCTTTCTTAATCCTGGTCACAACATCATCTTGCATACCACATTTATCTCTTATCACGCAATTTCTCACCCTGTCATTCAGATTAAACCCTAGCATATTTCTTAAAGAACGCATTTCTACAGCATTTATTCTAATTTCGTGCTTCTTCTGCCACACCCAGCTTTCACTACCATACATTAACGTAGGGACTAACACAGCATTATGAATTACCATACGTGCCTGTTTTGACACATTCTGGTTCTTCATAATAGAGTGTAGTGCCCCATTCACTCTATTCCCTGCATTTACTCGTCGTTCTATATCCCTATCATATCTACCATCCCTGCTAAATACACATCCCAAATACACAAACTCATCCACTTGCTCAATTAACTCTCCTTCTATTCTTATTTCACATACCGTTTTGCTTTCTTCTCTTTCAAAAACCATCACTTTCGTCTTACTTGCGTTCACTTTCATTCCCCTTTCTTTTAATTCCCAGTTCATTAATGTAACCATCATTTGCAACTCAGCCGCTGATGACGCAAATATGAGTTGATCATCGGCATACAAAAGGCATTTGACGGTTAACTCGCCCATTCTTAAACCACATTCTTCATCTTTCAAAGTTTGCAAACACCGGTCCATAAATAGGTTGAACAGCCAAGGGGAAGCTACACAGCCCTGTCTGACACCTTTTTGGATGCCAAACCAGTCCGAGTAGACCCCATTGATCCTGACACAAGCACTAGAGTCCCTATAAAGAGACCCTAATGCCTGTATCAAACCAGCGCTCAACCCATATGAGTTCAGTGTTTGCCATAACACATTCCTGTCCACTCTGTCATAAGCCTTTTCCAAGTCCATGAACGCACAAAAAACTTTCTGGTTTTTGGCCAAAAACTTCTCCGCAATCATGCGCATGGAAAAGACTTGATCTGTGCACCCCATTCCCTTTCTAAAACCCGCACACATCACAGTATAATATTAACTATTTATACATACACATATAATATTAAAAAAAGGAAATGCTGTATTAAAAAAAGGAAATCATAAAATATAAACCCGATAGGTAGCATGTTCCATGTATTCAAAATCAGTTAAGCAAGTTCTAACGAAAGGCCGTTTTTATCTTATCCTATGCTTGACAACAGAGCTAAAATTCAATATTAATGAGATTCGGTCTATTCCCACTATCTAGTACCTATTTGGTAACGAATTCTGAGTAGTTTTTTAGTTGTTAAAAAACTATAGTCGATTTAAATAAAAAAAAATTAAAAGGTATTTATTATGCGCATAATTATTCGTTTTGGTTTGGAGGCGAAGACGATATCATGATTATTTTTCTCAACATACTAATTATAAGCTTGTGCTAACAGTGGAATGTGTATATGCTGTAATATTGCTTTTTATTTTTAACAAAAGTATTTGTGCGAACGAATAAATAAACGTATGTGCACACACAGACACGTCTCTTAATCATAACTAGTAGAATCGAAGTCTTTAGGCCCCAAAACGTACTCTAACGTGTACGTATTTATAAAAACAATATTAAAAAACGTTTGTCAAAGACACTAAACAGATAATGCATATAATAAGATAATGTAACAAACAACTATAAGTAAACAAAAATAAACCTGTATAATTCAGCGCACAGCGAGAATTAATAGATACGTAAGACTCTTGACGTTCGTTTCTATTTGCATCCAAACAGTCTCCAATATACTCCTTACTGTTAAAATAAAAATAAATAAAACTACATCCAAATTATCTAAATAGTAACAAATTCTGGTGGATCTAAATTATTCCCCTGGGGCCAATATAAAATCCCTAAAGGAAAAAACGGGCAATCTAAATTATTATTTCGAAAAATTCAGAAGAATGTATATAGTGGTGACCTTTTTTAACGACTGGAAAAAAATAGGGTGTAACATGTGAACGTAGTAGAAACCTATGGCACTGATATTTTACAAAAAATATAAACAAAATATTGAATTAAATAAATTAATTAATTAAATTTTATCGCAAATTCATATCATAATTTGATTTATCGATAGCTAAAGTTGTACATCACCATATGGCAGTACTTTCGGTTGCAGCGATACCAGTTTATTTTATAAAAATTGCACACTTTTGGCTACTAGATGGCAAGTGCCTATTCGACTTATTTATAGCCTTTATTTTGTATAATATTTTGATAAATACTAGTTATCGATTATATTAAATTATATAATATTCAGAATCGTGTTGAGATTGAGCTGAATATTTGAACCATTTGACAAAGCCTACTATTTATATTTTCTATTTCATATCCACTATTTATTTCGGGACTACGCCTAAGGATTAGGAGTAACAGAAAAGACGCGCTAAAACCGGTGCCAACTTCAGAGCACGTCTTCAGCACAATAGGAGGGCCTCCTAACAGGCCCAATGGACTTGTTGAGTCCAGAGAGATGAGCGCTTTGCGCACCGAGCGCTGTGTAAACAGCACATATTACGTGAAGCACTCACACCGCGGGATGATCGATTGTGTGTTCCCCTTGACATCGAGTTGGACGTAAAGAGAGACCCTATCACATCGGCTTTCTCCTTTGCGGCATGGGCCAGTGAGTCGTCCCTCCTTTTTACTTGGATAGCTTTAGCGAGAGACCAGAATGCAGGTAGGAAGTCGAACTAGTTTCTCGCCAATTCTGCCGATGTGCTCTAACTACGCCTTGGCAATGAATCTTTTGAAGGACCTGGTGGAATTATATTACTTTTTAAGAGCACTGGTGTATGCATCCTGAGATGTTGATGTGTCAGACCAGGTCCGGTAGCACTTCTGCTTATGGCGTGATGCAATTTTACAGGAGTGACCAAAACATGGCTGATATTTGCCTCCGATAGACACCGCAGAAATGGAATGAAAAGTTTAATCGATTTAGAATACATTTCAAATGTTCAATGTCCATGCGCGTACAAAGTATTTAAACATGTTCAGGATTCCACCGATATCACAATAGATAACACACAAACCCTGAAATATCAAAAAACATTCCATTTTTAACATAGGTGGTTCGGTGCAATATCGGTTTTGTCTATGGGCCTATCAACTTATAACGCAAACCACTACAAGATTTCAAGATACTGTAAGCGTTTTGTGATATTTTCTTATTAATTGATACCAGACTGATTTACATAAACTAAGAAAAGAATTGATTTTAGTAAATACTGTCAAATATTAATTAATTTAATTTAATTACCTCGGGTCAACTTTTTTAAGTAGGTTATACTTCCCAGAGTTGAAGTCACCGTTAGTAACTTCTGCTCTCTGCATAAGTTTATCATTCACTAACTCATCACTGTCAATTTCATCATCTTCATTAATAATCCGTATTATGTCTTCTCCTGTATCTACAGAAGTAGTTGTATTTGACAAATTGTTTTCCTCGATAGCATCTAAATACTCATTTATATTATCTACGTTGAGATATTTATAATCATTGTTATTCGGAACTACAATCACTTCAAAATCATTTTTATCATCATTTCC